GGGGGCCCCCCCCCCCCCAGTCACTGACTGGCTGCTAGTGCGGGGGGCACGTGGCCCCTGACTCAGGAGGCCTCCTAGCACAGACAAGAGTACTATAGCACCTTCATGCCATTGCAGGCTTCTACCAGGGTGGACGTTAACTTGTGTCTGGGTTTATGCTAGCAGCAGTGACTCTTCCACTGCATCAAAGAGACAGTAACCGGGCAAAGAAGAAACCACATGACTTCCTGGCTGCAAATCCCACGTGCAGATCCTTTCACTTTTTAGCTAAAGTGACCAATCTCCAGCAAGTGGAATTCAGGTCACAGTCCATATGCTCCATAGACAGCTATTCATAGACCTGAAATTATTAGTGGCTCATTAGTTTGACGGCTAGTGGTAACAGCTATGAAACTGATCACAGGTACTCAGTGCAACAGCTAGTGACGGGGATGCTTGACCAGGTCAGAGTCCCATTAAATATCATAGTTTGCAAATGCTGCCTCTAACTGGGGAGCAGTCTGGCACTGATTTGAGACCAACTTTTCAAATTCAGTGTGAAAATTGTGGGTCAGGGAGTCTTCAGTGACAGCAGAACACAGCTCTGGCATTTGGGATGTTCTGGAAAATCTGGGACAGTTGGGAACTTATTTTTAGCTATGGGCATCTGCCCTTTGCTGCCCAGGGAAACAAAGAGTTCTTCACTACTGGCCTCACAATGACAGTTCAGGACTGAACTACTCTGATAACTGTGGTGCAGTTCTAAACCACTCTCGTGATAACCCTGTTGCAGATATTACTAATGGGAGAATTGCTGACAATTCTCCACTTTCTACTGTGCCAAGCTCTCTGAATGTCCTTTCTTAGTGCTTAAATCTAGAGTGGCACTAGCATTTGTTAGTAGCATCTGCCCTTCCCTTTCTTGGGCAGGTTATTGATCGATGGCTCTTTCAGCAAAGCCACAGCATGGATAAATAAGGAACTTTTTTGGGGTAGGACCTCAGGGTTGGGTATTCAGGAGATTAAGGTTCACACAGAGACTTGACTTTGGGTCCTTGGGCAAAACACCTACCTATCTCTTTTTGCCTCAGTTTCACTACCTAAGCTGAAGATCACATTACCTTTCTTATTGTCATAAAGTGCCTTTGAAAAATTTTTCTGTAGAAATGCCAAATAGTATTCAGAATTATTATATTCATAGGCATCATACACAAATGTGTATATATTATGTTATTATTGTAATTTTTTCTTCTCCTAATAGCAAATGTAAGGGGAGAATTAGTATCCCAAAGAAAACTAAAGCTGGTTGTGAGGTTGGAGTAATACAAAGTTTATGGTAAAACTACCTTTCTGCTATGAGAATTATGGCATGTAAATGTTAGCAGTTATTTTCAAAGACCACCATTCCTTGTTTAATTGCAGGAAATATAAACATGCTAACTCTTTGTGGCTAAATGTTTCATGTGGTCTGTTTGACTGTCAAACCCTGGCTCCAGTAGAGACTAATACACTATTCTGCTAATTAATCTTTGAAATTTAAAACTATTAACAGTTGAATACTTAATCTGCTGAGTTAACTAGATAAATAAAAAGTATGAGGGAAGGCTGTGCTCTTTTGCAAAATGTATATATTTGTTCCTATCTTAACAGTTGCAGAGTAAGTATAGTATAATCTCCTCCTAAGAAACCTTGTTTGGAACAAATGTCAGCTTTCAACAACTTCAGCAGATGGAAACTCTCTCTTCCCCACTCCCCCACATTACAGTGTTTCTGAAGCAGCAAATTAACTATCCCTATTATAACAAATAAACTCTTTTTCATGAACTCTTCTCTTGATTCCATAGGGGTTTATTAAAATGAGGTTGTTCTGCATTTGAAAGTATTATTAGATAATATCACAGTTTAAACTATAAAAAGGGGAGGGTTGGCAGCTCCCCTTCAATAGGGGACGTCAATTGGGTCTTACCAATTTAAGTATTAAGTGTACCCTACAATTTTTGTTTGATTTCTTTGTTGCTTTTTAATTGATGGTCATGCTCAGTGTTTGAAGGGTATGTATTTGTCAGACAAGGTTCTTTGGGTAGATGTGATATCTTTTATTGGACCAACTGAGTGGCTGGAAAAAAGGTTTTTTGGAGGCTTTCAGGCACAAATGCCCTTCTTCAGGCATAGGAAGTCTCCGCTGTTCTGAGACTCCAAGGAATGAGAGAAGCTAAAAGGGTGACAGGATGTCAGTGAGAATGTAAATAGGTGGGAATTAGGAAAACAAAACAGGTAGAATAGGGAAGTGGGGAGGAGAATGAGGGGGGAAAAAGCCAAAGGTGATTAAGGTTGACTACAGCAGTAGATTTTCAAGGTAGAAAAGAGGCTGTCTGTGAAAAAGGACCTATTTACAGTCTCACTGACATCTTGCCACACTTTTAACATCTCTCATTCAGTGGGGTTTCAGAACAGCAGAGACTTCCTATGCCTGAGGAAGGGTGACTGTGCCCAACAGCTTGATAAGAACTTTTTTCCAAGTACTCTTTTGGTCTAATGAAGATATCGAATCTACTCAAAGAACCTTGTCTAGCTGAAAATTAGGAAGACAAAGGGCAGAAAAGGATGTGGCTGCTCAAAATCTTGATAACCATCAAAACTTTCCTGTGCATTAAGTGCACACTAATGATCACTGTACAGTGCAAGTAGATTCTTCCTATTTGGAGCAGGAACCTCAGGGGAGCGCTGTCTCTAACCCCCTCCACACTTAATTGCATACACACCGGCCGTAGGTAGGTAGATACACAAACATACACCTACCTCTGTCTATAGCACATCTGTGCATGCATCTCCCTACAGCACGTGTGTGTGTGTAATCACAACCTTTGTGAGCTGAAGCTCGCTTCAGCAGACGCCGTGACAACTAACTACGCGTCCCCCAAGCCAGGAAGCCGAGACCTGGTATCTCCTGCTGGCAGCCTCAAGCAGGGCTGAGAGGGCCCCACGCAGCTGCGCACATCTGGGCTGGGCTGGCGAAAGGGGCGGGGCAGCGCTCGGCCGCCAGCAGGTCGCTCCTCCTCCCCCCGCCCACGCTGAGCCGAGCCGAGCCGAGCCGCCGCCGCCGCCGCCGCCGCCCTTGCAAGCAGTCGTAGAGCCGGGCCATGGAGACGTGGGGCGCGGCTGCTGCCGCGGCGCTGTCCGTGTGGCTCGCCCTGGTGCTCGGCCTTATCCTGCTGCCCTCCGTCGTTGGCGTGTCGCTGGGCATCTCCGAGCTCTACATGACCGTCCTGGTCAAGACCCTGGAGGTGAGTGGGCAGCTCTGCCGCCTGTTCCGGATGCCGTCGGGAACCCACCCCGGCCGGCCTCCGTAGTCACCTGGGATTGGAAACACCCCTGACTCCCCTCCCCAGCTGTTGGAATATTCCCTCCCGTCAGCTGTTTGAACCTGCACCCCCCCTTCAGTCCAGTCCCAGCTGGTCGACCCTTCCCCCCCCCCACCGCCACATCCTCTCCGCCTTCCAGATGTTTGAACCTTCCCCCCCATCTTGCAGGCTCAGAGGATATGTGGGTCCAAGGTGTACATGGGTGTGTGCCTGTGTTATGCCTCTGGCCGCAGTAGGTAGATTAGTGGTCATCAACAATGGATCTCAATCCACCAGTAGATCTCGGAGCCTCTTGGAGTTGATTTGAGAATGGGGTGGGGGGCTGAGTGCCTGCATGCATGCACCCCAGGCCAGCAGGGCAGTCCGTGGGGAAGGAGAGGGGAGAGAAGGGGGCCTCAATCTAGCGAGACAATGAGAGACAGTGCTGCAGAGGCAGGAGCAGGGGTAAATTGAGTGGGGTCCTGGCCAGGTGGGACTAAGCTGTGGCGGCGGAGTGCCCCCATATAATTTTTTCTCCATCTGCCTCAATCTGCCCCCCCCACCTCCTTCCCTGCAGACTTACCTGCTGGGAGGAGGTGGTGGTAGCTGTGCACGATAGATCTTGGATTGCTTTTAAATGCCAAAGGTGACCTCCTACTTTAAAAGGTTGGAGACCACTGAGGTAGATAAACATCAGGCTAGTTCCCACACCCCCAACAGAATACAGTTCTGAAGTAGTATGCTCCCCAGTTTACTTGAGCTGACATAATAGGCCAACACTGCAATCTATCTAGGTTCAGAGGTGATCCAGTTTTGGTGCTTTGGGGAGCCACTTTTGGCCTAGGGACAGCATTATACATGAACTGGTATAAGTGATTGGAAGTTGGTTCAAACGTGTAACACAACAGAAGTTCAGTGCAGGTAGATTGGTATAAAAATGACTGAAACTGGTTTGAGATGGATGGATGTAGTATCAGAATTAACTGATTTAGGTTACACTGGTTATCAGACTTGTGTCCTAGATCCCCTCCAAACACAGGTTAGATCTCAGTCCCCTAGCATCCCAGGATACATTGCAGCCCCCTGCTAACCCCCATCCAGCATTCCCTCTGAGCTCTGTGGTGTGCACAGCTATGTAGGCACATTCATGCCGCACTGCCAGGCACACCTGTGCTGTTGCGTACGCCATGCAGCTTAGAGGCCCCCATCTCCCAGGCCAGCTAGCTTCCACCCCAGCTTGTCCACTTCAGCCCAGCCAGTGGGCCTACGCCTCCTGTCATAGAGCTGAGGCAGCCTCCCTAGCCCTGTGGGCCATGGCATGGGGGCAAGTGAGGGGCTAATGGACCCCTGCCCCTGTGCTATTTCATAGCTCAAGAAAAGGCAGGGAGACTTCTTGCTCTCAAAAGGACTTTATTGCAACTGCTAAACCACACAGAAAATGGCTGACAACTTCCTGTTGACATAATTGTGTCAGCCCTCAGGAAAGGCTTACACCCCCCTTTCTTACGAGAAACCTGAAGGATTTTCAAAGAACTGCAAAATCATCTTGAGTGGAGAGGTTGCAAGCACATCACTCCTGTGAGTCTTTACCACTCACTTCCCTACAAAAATAGAATAATCAAATCAGAAACATCAATAAGCCTTTTCACTTCAAGCAGTTAAGTTCACAAATCTAGTCTATTTGGTGGAACTGACGCACATCCTGACCTAATGTAGTAAACAGGTGTAATACAAAGGAGATTCTCTCGATTCCTACGGAGAAGACCTTTAGGTGTCTCCACCCAGTATGAACAAGGGCTGTCCGCCCTAGCCAGGACAGTGCTTTGTACTCCTGCATCTGGAATCCAAACTTTCCTGATATGGGGAAGGAGCAGGGACATTTCTTGAGGCATGCCTGGTGTTATAAAGGACAGTTAAACTGAATTCCATTTCTGTCTTTGTCATCAAATTCCTGTGCATCAACAAGTTTTGGAGCCACCTATCATAGTTGGTAGGCTTATATGGAGTCAGCGACTCAGAAGCAACTCGGCTGGACTCCATCCATGCTCTAATGGTATTGAAGGGTGTATTAGGAGAACCTTATAGAGATCTTTATTTTTCTGAAGCAAATTCTTCATTGTCTGCACTGCACATTCTGCTTCCCCATTACTATGCGGTAAATGCAGACTGCTGGTGATACGCTGAAGTCATACTGGGCTGCAGACTGCTTAAGTGCAGCTCCAGAAAATTGTGGACCATTATCTGGTCTTAAAACATGCCATGGCATGCACATATACTCTTCAACACCATTATAACCCTCTCTGTTGTGGTCTGTAACTGCCATCTCCAAGTAACTGGAATAATAGTTGATAACAACAAGATAAACAGAACCCTCCCAGGTCAGTAAGTTGGCACCCACCATCTGCCATGGATAATCTGGTAATTCAGTCATAAAACATGGCTCTACAGGGTCTGGTCAGTGTTGAGCACAAACCTTACAACTAGCTACCCAGTTCTGTATATCATCATCACTGATGGACGATCACCAAACTGTCTGATGAGCCCTGGCTTGACTTCTTCTAGTACCCTGATGAGCTTTATGAATCTTCTCTAGGATTTTCTGGCATAGAGCGGAAGGTATCAGTACTCTGTTGTGGAACATGACTAAATCCCTGATGGAATTGATTGTCCATTGAGCTCTGTTTCTGTCATCCAGACTCCTGGGTGTGACGAAGACTCTGTAAGTTCTTTTAATAACACAGCACAATGCTCCTGTTCTGTGACTTCAGGGACTCCCGTGGTTGAGCAGCAAAATAAAGCATAGTGACCTTTCTTTTTACATTGTCAACATTATCTCTTCTTTAACAGGACACATAGCATAGCTATGTCAAGGGATTTTACCACATCGACGGTATTGGCCCCCTTTTCCACTTGATAGTTGCTGTGGATGCCAGTGGGACCACTCTCTTTCATTTGTTGTGCATGCCAATTCTATTTATTTTTGGTTGTAGTTTCTTGACAATGTGTATTGCATCCATATTAGCTGATACCTGATGGGGCTTGGAATTGCTTCTGATTTCCCTTTGTTGCTGCTTAACTAACTCTGGCCGCCTTGTGTGACAGCCTTCTGGAGTGTTAAATCCAACTGTAGTCTTTGTGAGAGCTCTTCATTGTGAAGACCTGCAACTAAACAGTTCCTAATAAGTTTTTCCTTGAGCTCCCCATATTGGAAAAATTCAGCCAATGTATGCAAAGATGTAATAAAGCTGTTCATAGGTTCTGAAGGATCTTGTTTAGGGAGACCTGAATCTAGCTCATTCATAAATCACATTTCTTTTGCCCAAAAATGTTCAGTTAGTGCCTCTACCACATCAGCATATGGCTTTTTCTCTGCATTTGTAAGAGTTTGTGACATCAGAATTTCATCAGCCTGATCCCCCATTAAGTAGACGAGTACTTGGTAACGTCCCTCCCTTCCACAGCATGGGTCTCTGGGTCTATGAATGCCCCAGCCCCTCCCTCTCACTACCCCCCTGCTTGGTAGCCATGGGGTGGTGTTTGGTGGGGGGGAGAACCCCAGCTCTGGCCCCCCTAGCCAGGGTCAGTACAGTGGGTGAGGGGGAAAAGGCCCCAAGGTGGGGGGTTTCCCCCTGCAGCATAGCTCCATCAGCCTATGAATGCCCCAGCACTCCCACACTGCAGACCATAGTTGGGGGACCAGAGCAAGGTCTATTCTCCCACCCCTGCCCTGTCCCCATCCCACCCTTGCAGCTGAGAGGTGCGGGGGTTGGCAAGGAGGCAGGGCAGGGGTGTTTGCAGCTTGGTAAGCTGGGAGGCATGTGCGAGTGCCCCCTGCCTTCTGGCCTTGGCCAGTGCAGGCATCTACCTGCCATAGCCAATTGATGAGTGAATGTGTATTGTGCTTGTTAATGGTCCAGTCTACGTGGTTTAGAGAGCTGCTTAGAGTGACTTGATTCTGCCTTGGGTTTTTTGACTGTGTACTTAGCCCAGGAGGCTGGCTTTGTTAGCATTTTATTGCCTTGCTTTATCTTGTGATGCTGAGGCAGCCTCTGTGGGGGTAGCTGCTCAGCTTAGCTTTGAAATGCCCTACATTTGACGTGGTTGCTTTTATCTGAGTAAAATGTCACTAGATTGCCCCTTGTGAGGGTAAATGCCTTGCTCCCTTCACTGTTTAGCTTTTGGAAACCATGCATGTTCAGCTGTCTGGCTACCTTTTTGTAGTGTGGGCCATGTGAGGCAATAATCTAACTAGGGAAGTCTGAAGTGGGGCAGTGTGCTTGTTTGAGGAAAGTGTGGGAAGAAACTCTGAACTTCAGGGGGAAGCATAGAGGATAGGAGGGAGGAGCTGAAATGTAAATACGTGTTAAATATGCATGTAAAAAGGGGAGGAGATGGAAAACTGGATAATTGGGGTATTGTTAACTAATTGATTTCAATGCAAGGCAAAACTGCACTCCCAGTGCCAGGCTTCTGGTCAGTCAGCACAAATTCAAATGGCTGGCAGCATAAGCTGTCAGTCAGCATAGAAAACTAGCCTTGATAAATTTGATCCCATTTTTTTAAGATCGTGCGCTAAATTGACAAGGTGACTGATACAATGTACTTAAATGTTCTACAGATGCATGACTGGAAACCACACAGCTAGATTTGTTGTTGTTGTTGTCCAATAATAATTTTGAAATCAGACTCAGAATCAGGTAATGAAACAAAATCATAAGCCAGAAGGGGGGTTTCTAGCTTTTCTTGGCCTGTGCTATCCAATATTTTGATCAGTAAGCCAGCTGAAAACTGAACAGCTATTGGTAAGATTTGCAGATAACAAAGATCAGGCTGAAAAACGTGTGAACATTCAAGTGAACCTGCCCTTATCCTGTAAAACTGATATTTGTTAACTGTACTAAAAATGCAAGGTGGGTGCAGCTAGGAACAAAGGATGTGGGTTG